CCGGAGGTGACCAGGGCATGAGTGACTGTGCAGAGGCCCTCCTGATCCAGGAAGGGACGTAACTCGCACAACACGAAGTCGTGCAAAGGCCCTCCTAGCCTGTGACATGTACCATTGGAAGGCATGAAAGAACAGGCTAGGGATAGTTCATCATGGAGAAAATCTATCTATGTGGTTGCTAGGAGTTGAAAATAACTTGATGGAACATAATCAATCAATTAATCAATCAAATCAAAAGCATGCATACCTATTTTGCAACTACAAGATTTCCTGAAAGAATGAACTGTGACTAAAAATTTTTTAAAATAATGGGTGCATTCTGCATATTATGTTTCTCACAGCAGAACATACTTCTCAAGAACCATTCATTTGTACACCTCAACATTATCTTTTCATCCTTTGGGGAAACTCTACCAAGAGTCTCTCATGACTCTACACACAGAATCTACACACAGCCAGATTAATAGAATACCACACAGATACAGCTAGTCAAAAGCTCCAGTGACAAACACAGTAGCCTACCCCAATCTGTAGATGCATAGGTATTGCAACTTCTAGTCTTCCCAACCCACTTGATTATTAACAAAGCTAATTAACACTTCAGAGAGCTGTAGTTGTAATATCTCTGGAAGGCAGCAGGATGAGAAAGAATGAAGCACAGTGTTCTATTAAACACTGCATATTTAAAATAAAAGAAATAATGTGGCTTACCTGAATGGCTTCTGTGATATGATGAGGCCAGTGTCAGCCTTCCCCAAAGCATTATAAGGCAGAGAGAGAGCACCAATACCCCTTTGCTCAAACTTTGGATGTTCCTTTCACTCATTCTGCCATGCAAAAAAATAAAATAAATTAAATCAAAATGCCTTATATTGTGGATAGAGAACTTTAGGTCAGAAAGAAAGGGGTGGGGAGGGAGAAAGTGCACAATTATCATAAGATTTGATCAGATTGTTCTTCCTAGAAACAGAGAAATTAATCTTACATTTCAGCATTACTACATTAAAACCTTCCCTAATAACAAATACAAGTTACATCCTAACTTAACCTTTTGCCAATGAAATAACTTTTGAATCAGCAGCAAATCCCAGTGGCAGGATGCAGATTTTTAGAAATGCCAAGAACTGCAATTAGTTGTTTAAAAAATGGCTTCCATGCTTCTGCTAGTGAAAAAAAAAAAGTCCTCTAAGACTTTTTTTAGAACTGCAACAGTAGGAAAGAGGAAGATCCAAGCTCATGTTTTTCTAAGGAAAAGTACTTTCATTATATGTCTGCACACACACATTCAAATATAGATGTGGAACAGCTCAACAGTCTGGCAATTTTCAGACATGGCACAACTTCAACTCTACTTCTCTTGCTGCTTGATTTAACTGCTTGATTTAACTGCTTGATTAAAACCAAACTAACTGACAATCATCTCTGAGAAGGTATGAATAGTTACCTTCACCATATCATTCTCACAAAGGAAAGTTTAATTAAAGAAGGCAGAAATCCACTTATTAATGTGGAAGCAAAGGGATGCCTTTATCAAAAATATACTAAACATGCTGAAAAGAAAAAGCAAAAGACAAAAGAGGAAAAAAGATTAAACATAACGGTGGTTGGAGGTAACAGGAGTACATGAACCTGACAGGAAAGAGCTGTTCCACGGGTCTTATCTAATCTTATCTAACATTTTAACCCCTACACCACATTGACCCTTGGTACTACCAGGAGCTCTCCATCAGGAAAGTGAAGCAAAATTTATGTGGTCATCATAAAGTAGCTGGAATGAGATCACCATATGGCTACTTCTGCAACTATATCTAATTTAGAAAATGAGATGTTAGATCAGTGTTTCTCAGCCTTTGCAACTTTAAGATGTGTGAACTTCAACTCCCATGCTGACTGGGGAATTCTGGGAGTTGAAGTCCACACATCTTAAAGTTGCCAAGGTTGAGAAACACTGTGTTAAATGTACTGGAGTGCTTCTAAATACTAAATGGTCTGGGCCATGTAGTTTATACATTTCCATTGCAAGCTGTAACTTCATATAGCCCTTCAAATAACAGTGGCTGAAATGATTCCAAGGCTGATGCAACATAATTCAGTTAGAGTTATGAACATCTTAATAATGGCCTATCCAACAACAGTGAAAGCGGCATTCTGCATATAACTTTCTAAGCATGGGTCAGCAAAAGGGAGCATATTTACCCTGAGTAATAGGGTCCTTAGCATTCCAGTTCCAAATAACCAGTCATTGTTTTATCAGAACATTCATCTTTTCTCCATCTCAAGAGTCAGCCTCACTGGCAGTGGCACAAGGATAGCAAACTGGTTTTGCTCCTTGTATGGAAAACAGGACTGAAGTTCATTAATGAAAAAATATATATGCATCCCAGAAAAGGTTCACGATGAGATAATTGTGGTTGAATATTTCACAATCCTGGGTCTTCCATAAAACTGTCACTAGTTTCCCTTTTCTTTCTCTGGGCAAGATTCATTCAACTTTCCTGTAAGATTTCTTGTTAAGCATTCCCCACCACTACAAATCCCATAACTAGATAAGCGTTTAATCTTATACTTACCTCCTATTGGGGCTTTACAGCTACTGTCTGTGCATTGGCCAATCTCAGGTAGACTTGGTATTTGAAAAGAAGGGGAAACATTAGGGCATCTAAAAATGAAAAAAAGTACCAGTTTACATTTTTCATTGGGGAGCGTACCTGAAAAGTACAAAGATGAAGTAACTTGCAAATATTGAAGTTGAACTTTTTCATAAAATATTGCAGGCCAAATTTCTAAATATAGGATCTATTTTCACATCATTTTCCTTCTTCTCCTTCCCACCCCAATGTCCCATCCATCACCCATTCTTCTATTCAGCCCTGCCAAAGTTACATCCAATACCAAGTTCATGGCAAACAGATCCAGGCTTATTTTATGCATATGTTGAAGAGAGTCTATGAATAATATATATTATTTTGCATAACATGTCTCTGGTTTACACTTCCACCAATATGAAACAGATATTTCAATCCACGTGCAGAAAAGCATGTAAACAACTGCTCTCCAATAAAATCAGCACAGCTCACAAATTAACCTATTGCTAGAAAAATCACTTGAGCTGTTCCCAAAGTTACTAGGGAGAAACTGATTAGGAATTTCAAACTAGAGGCAAGGTAGGTTTTATAGGTGTGGCTAGAGAATGATCTCTTTCTAAAACCAGATCAAGAGAACCCTCAATGACCTAATCAAGAAAGATCAAATCACAAAAGAAGAATAGTGATGGATAAAAAACAGCTGGAATCCTTTCCTTTCCTAATAAATGAAGACCTGAAAACAGCAGCTAGGGCACAATATATGAAGATTAGCTGCAGCCATGCTTTAGATCTATATGCAATTACAGGCAAGAGAGTGGACTGTGTGGATAAGTGGGGAGACAGATTAGTTGGTGAATTTAAAATATCCAGGCATTTTGATACAGTACGATAAAAGAAGCCTGAGGTTTTGCCATTATTTTTAGAAAATCAGAACTTTGAGGAAAATCGAAATATATACATTAATTTGTATAAAATATACCCAAATAAATAAATGACTGCTATTCCATTCTCAGTACTTTGAAACCTAATGGAAGATAAGAATAGATCCACCAACCTCTAGATTAAGAGGACAAAAATTCATGAACAAGGAAGGACTGAGTCTCTCTTATTTAAATAAATGTAATGTCACCTGCAGAAAGAAATGCACTTCTTCTTTCAGTTGAGTTTGTTCTCTGTCTAGAGCAGTGTTGTCCAAACGTGGCCACTTTAAGATGAGTGGACTTCAATTGCCAGAATTCCCCAACCAGCATGCCATGCTGGCTGGGGAATTCTGGGAATTGAAGTCCACTCATCTTAAAGTGGCAAAGTTTGACAACACTGGTCTAGAGGAATTACAGTGCTCTGATACTACATACTGTATTTACATAAAAATCCATCAATTGTAGAACATTCAGAAATCAATTTGGGGAATAAAGGATATATGACCACTTTTTGTAATATGCTAGAGTATTTAATAGATTTTATTTCATAATCCATTTTAAATGTTTTGGAAAAGTTTAAAAAAAGGCATGTGGGGGAAAAGTTGCCAACTTTATTTCCACATGTTAATATCTCTAGGTTAGCAGAACTGAACTACTGTCTAGAGCACTAGAGCCTATGGCAACTGAGATACAAGCCACACAGTCTCTTTATTTCTGTTTTTCAAATTTTGATCTTTAAGTAAGAAATATCTCATTGACCAAGAAATGCAAAGAACAACAAGCAGAGAAACAATCCTGTCCAATGCAAACACAATTTACTAGGAATGGGGAAAATGACAGTTTCACAGCCTTGCACGTTACCTTCTGGGATTTAGCAGAGTCTGAAGAACTACAAAAGCTATGAAATTTTAATGCCCAATTTGAATTTATTAACACTGAGACAGAGAGCAATTCCATGTTGCTTGTAGTGATATAGATTCCCAACTGGACACAGAGCCAACTCACAGCTCTTCCTGGTCAAAATATGCACTGGACGTCTCTAATGATTTCTTTCTAAGGATTTGTACATAGCCACAATGCTTAACTTATTTTGTTATGGACCTATTACTCTACTTTGTTGGTTTCAGGGAGCTTCCAGATCTCATAAGAAACTGCCTGAAAGGTTTCTGAACTCCAGTGCAACTGTTTTAGACACACAGAATGACAACAAAAAAGAAGGGCTGCTAGATTTGTGGATGTACACCATGTTATACAGTCATGTTTATCCATTAACTCCTGCTTACAGCAGATGAATATAGTTGCATCAGGGTAGAGATGAAACACTCATTTTGAAAAACACCTTTCACATTTCCCCCATTATTTTCTTCATGGTTATGGAGATCTCCTAAATATGTACTAGTAGTCCATGAATTACAGACTATGAATCAACATCTTAAGAAGACATAGGGATACTGGACAAGGGTGATATAATAAAAGAATTTGTTATACTCGTGGTTAATAGAGCACTAAAAATGTGTGCTTTCCCAAAGTAGAATAAATTATACAGTAGAATAAATTAGAAGTTCAGTCTAGGTAATATCAAGGGCAACATGACACATCATAAAGGTTTATACAACATCTCTGTACAATTAAGAGGGAGCATTGGTGAAACTAATAAGATCTAATCCTTTTAATGAGTTCTGCTGATATGAAGCACAGTTGTGGTGCCCCAGGCATCTTGGCATCGCCATTTTCTTTTCCACTCTGGAATTTTCTTCACAGTAGGAAATTCTTCTAGCAATAGGAAATTTTTTAGCAACATGAATTTTTTAAAACTCATTTGTATGAGTATATATTAAAATAATTAGTCCTAGCTTACTAGTCCTTCAATAAAGGCTATTTGAAATATAATCTCTCCTCTCAAACTGCTATTGCTATTGTCATGGACTACAACCAAGATTATTAATGTATTTAAATAATCTGACAATGCAGAAGACCAAGCAAATGTCTTTACCAAATGTATTTTTTCTTCTTTCTTTATTCTCATGACATGGCAAGTACTATAACTGGATGATCATATGCAGCACTTCTGTGCTTGGTACTAATACAAACTGCAAAGATGTTGCCATTAACACTGTAAGATGGTAACATGAAAGAGTTAATGTGATTCTGGGCAAAAGAAAGCCAGAAGGTGTGGAACAAGGGAAAGACAAAATTAATATCCATGCCTTAGTGATGAAATCTGGAGAATCCTTGAATGCATGAGGGTGAGATAGGTTCCACATAGGAAGGATATTTGTACAACATGTGCATAGAAATTCAGCATTTGTAATCAACAGCTCTCTTCTCTTATCCCATAAAAAATAATATCCAGGGAAACTAGCAGGCTTTCACAGTGGTGGTATCTCAAACTTTGAAAATCTCTGAGATTATTTCCTATGCTTGGGGAAGGGATTTTTGGCACCATACTTTTCGTTTATGTATGTATATTCAGCCAGGTTCTTAATGAGCAACTTTATTCTGCCATTGTATTAATGCTGTCAATATTTTACCATTTCTACTGCTACTGTAACTCCTGGTTGTCTGAATTATATTTTTAATGTTGTTTTAATATTTTATTGCTATTTTAATCGCATTTGGGACAGCTGCTCTGACAATGTTAATAAGGTGGCCTATCTACAAAATGCTATAGTTTCGAACTTTGTTGCTCTATGCCTCTATTGTAACTACTTTCCCTAATGAAGTGTCTTAAGATATGTAGAACTCCCACTGTGCTGAATTATGATAACTGAAGTCCGAGGAACCTGGAGTGCAGCACATTGGGAAAGACCATCACAGTTTTAAGATCTTTTTTCTTCTTTTATTTAGCTTACATTAGCTAATGTCATTTCTGATTGTTCACTTCTTGCTACTTCAAAAATATCTGTTGAAACCACAACAGACAAGCATATATGCACTGAAGCACTTAGATCTCTGTTAAAAATGCATTAATACCAGTGCCCCTATGGAGTACCATCTGGTGACCTTCTTTAAATTAACCTGGACCATTTTAGAGAAGGATGGATCAGAAAATCATTTGGAGGGCTGCTGTAAAATGTTAGTTGAGCAATTCATGGGTAAAATCATCCAGATCCACTTGGAGTTATAAGCTGCCTATATAGAATTTGACAAGGTAGTTAGGGCAAAACCTTGTGTTGTCATCTGAGAAGAGTTTGAGCCTCTTACTCCTGAGGAAATGGCAGAGTTCTGAGCTAAACCATCTGTAGACCCTCTTCCACCTGGCCTGTACAAGCAATTAAGAATGGGACAGGGAACAACTTCTGTGGAAGACATGGCAAACTGAATACATCTCTGCGCTAGCAGAACCGATGACCATGGCAAAGACCAAAGAACCAGTGAATAGGCCAGTTCTTTGGAACCTCTCCGGATAAGGAGAGGACATTGCGAGGAGACCACAGGACAGCAGTCTTCTATGGGTTTGAGTGCCGGGAGATGAAGGGATTAGCCATCTTACCACAGTGAAGCCTTTTAGAGGACCCTAGGTTTGCAAGCCTCACTTTCTAATCACTTTCAGAAATTGCCCATTAACCATCTTAAAGCTATTAGAAACCTTCAGAATGACAAGTTTGAAAAGTCACTGGGTGAGTTTAGCTTCAACTTTGAACAAAAGAAAAATTAATTACACACTTAAGAACTTAAAGAATTTGAAATAAACAGCAAAAAGCTAAATAAGATTTTGATCTAAAAAAGTTACAAATGGATTAAGGGTCCAGTTCAATTTGGAATATTGACTTTTACTATACGATTTTGGAATTAATTATAAAAAAATAAATAGCTTCTTGGCTCATAATAAAGATAAGTGAATTTATGATTTTAGAGACTGGACACTAGAGGGGACTAAAGATTCTAAGTAGAAGGGGAAAAAAAATACAAGCCAGCTTTTGATGTCAGTTAACTGGGACTTACAAAATTACACAAAACATCATAACACTGGAAATATTAAAGGAGATATTTGAAGAATGGAGCCAAAAATTAGTAGCTACAATATCAACAGTGTCAGTAATGATGTCTGATTCTATGGATAGATTATATCCAAAAGATGTCAATGAGGTAATGACAGATCTGGGGCAAATTTTGTCTGACAAGACAGAAAAAGTATGCTCTCTCTCTCTCTC